TTATCTTCATGTTGTATCTCTTTTTTCAATAGGCCTGCCGAGATTGGTGTTCTGGGATTTGTGTTTGACTCACTTCTGGGTAATGTCATTAGTGTGCATTTTTTAAGGATTGGGAGCTGTCTGGGAAGTATGGGATTGGGAGCTGTCTGGGAAGGCTTATGTCATTTAGGATGGGTACGATGCCAGGAGGGTATTGTGTTAATAAAGGATGGATTGGGAGCTGTCTGGGAAGTTTAGGATGTGTAGCACCAAGCTGCCAGGAGGGTATTCATGTCCTTTCGAATTGTTTGGAAGGCTAACTAACAGACCTGGTTAGTTTAGGGTGTAAATACTAACAAATTTCGAATTAGGGTGCAAAGGCTAATTAGGGGTATAAAAGAGGGTGCAAAGTCTAAATAACCCTAAATTTATTTTAAATGTAATAATTTTATTAATCAATAGAATCGCCCGACCAAACTACTTCAACTAGAATTTCATAAATTTCAATAGAATCAGTTGATTTAGCTAATTTTAATATTATCAAACAGACTCTAAAAATTAAAATAATTACATACTTTTTACTAAAATAAAGATTGTTTACACAAATGTGACTAGTGACTAGAGTAATAATGAAAACATAATAACTTATGTTTAATTTTTAAACTTAAGTTAGCATGACACTACATTGTAGTAACTACTAGTCATATTTTGGTAAATAAGTTTAATTTTAGTAATATTTTTGTAAAAAAACCCAAAAAAATTCAATGCAATTAAAATATTTTAATTAGGAAAAGTTGATGAAATTTTATGAGATCGAGAGTACTCTAGAGAATAAAATAAGAATGATTTAGAATATACAATCTTTATGAAATTTAATACTCCCTCCGTCCCATTTAAACTTTCACACGCAGTTTACGACGTTTGACTGACCATTAAGTTAACTGATCTCTGTCATTAGTAAAATTAGTTTTAGTAAATAAAATTTACATATTTAGAAACTACATTAAAACCGCTACAAAGCTTGATCAAGAAAATTTAAAATTGATAAAAGGTAAGTATATAAAATAAAAGATTAAGAGCAATGCACATTAACGGGAGACCTTTTAAGTGGGATGGGGGTGTATGAGATAATCTCACGTTTCTAGACCGTTTACGAGAATACAGGAGAATACCTAAAGAGAGAACAATGTCTGCGGAGGGACGGAGTATATACATATACAGTATACTAGTTTTTCAACGCGCGTTGCGCGAGCGGGGATAATGCCCAATATCATATAATGCGTACATTTCACGGAGTGAGATGATGATCCAAAAAGGCTATGGTGTTTTATTACTTGAAATTTGAAAGCACAAGAGGAGACCTTCCTTCCCCCGCGAAGAAGCTCGCTATAATTTAAGAAAGAGAAAAGTTGAACCTAAAATCTACTCAAATCATCAAATGTAGTATTAAAACATGACAACTACCCCCATTCCCTATCAATAAATGACTATGGAGTACAACACATTTGTGGGCAACTCCACACTGATGTTAATTTCCATACATGCAACAATGTTGTCATTATCTTTCATGCTCATTTGTTGTCCAAAGGCAGGCATGAAGTGATCACATCCTGTAATGAGCAACACAAGCACTAGAGTTATATTTTCATAGCTCAATTAGCACAAAGATGAAAAAAAATGCAAACCTTTTGCAGCATCATTCAAATGGCCTTCGGGAGGAAAGGTCATCTTATCTTGAAAAACAGTCAATAGTTCACACTATCAAGGAACAAGAATGGACCAACATACATATAATTAGACAACACAAGCACCGTAATATCTTGTAGAATTTAAAGAGAAACCATCATGCATATCGTGTTCCAAGATGAAAAATCATTTGAGGACCACCACTGATTTCAACAGTCATAACTCCATCTATCTTTAATTTATAAATGACATCAATATTAGTATGAGGAGAAACAGGGAAAGAAAACAAAAAATTGAGATGGGAGGTCTAGGTTGTCCCATAGCTCCGCCAGTAACAGCGAGATCAAGCCCAAATCAGCCTTCAGACTTTTCTTAATTATAGCAATCATTTTGGTATACATAAAATGATTAACCTATCCTAAAATACTATCCGAGACATAAGCCTAACTCAGCTATTAATGACACCATAATTAAAAAAATATGTGAAGCTTAATGAAACCATAGTTAATTAAAATTTAATGCAAAACATATGTGAAGCTTCTTGGCTATCGGTAGCCATTTCATCTCCTTTACTCTTTCATAGCAATATTTTACTTTACAAAATCCTTCACTAATGAAGTAGACATGCTTGACAACTTAACCTTAGTTCCAGCTCCATACTTGGATGATTTTGAACTTTTCGAATGGCCAGTTAAACTTGAGAAACCTTCTAGTATATTTTCCATTTATAATTTTCAACTTTTTTATATTTAAAAATGGCGTTCATAAGGAAGTTGATGAAATATTGATATTTGTTAGAATAATAGAAATCCATGAACAATCAAATTATTTTGATAGTCAATAATATGTCATCTTTTTATTGTACTTAGTTTTTGCATTAATCAACCAATTATTTTTCTAGAAAAATTAAATATTATTACGTGATTTATCATAGTACAATCAACTAGTTAAGTTACTTTTTACTTTTTACAATCTTCAGAGTTACTTTTCACAAAGTATTTTACAACTAGTCAAGAGGATGCTAGTCAAGAGGATGCTCCAAATATGCGATCATCTGTTGACTTCAATGTATTTTCTAGAAGATTTGCAAAAACAGAGACTTACGGAGCGAGCTCGGTAAGATAATTCGACTTAATTCATGACAATATATGTGCATCTATTCAGTCACACACACGTGACCCTGCGCATAACCACCTGTTTGTCTTTTTTTTTCAGTTTTCTTGGGTGAGACTGTTAAGTATTCAAATTTAACTCAGTTTAAGAAATGTATTTGAGAGAAGATTTGTCATTTTCTCTTTAACTCTATTTTTCTCTCTCTTTAACTCTATAGAAACATATTGGTAATATACTTCATACATTGTATCTATGACGATCACATTTTCTAAAATTTAGAAAGTTTTATAAATTTTATCATTATTTTTAATATTCAGTGTCATGAGAATTCTAAGTACAAAATCCTCAATAAGAGAATCAACATCTATATTCTTAAAAGATCTCATTCAATATAATGTTGATCATCAACTAATCTTTAAAAATATTATTTCCCGTGTTATTACGGAGTGACATCTTTCATTGCATAAACCATTCTTTGATCCGTAGCGCATAAATATACAGTTAAAACAAAACAAATATAAATAGGCAATTCATAGTGATAAAAATTACATCAACAAAATCTAAAATTTTAAATAAATACTTCAATAAGTAAAAAGTAACTTAACTAGCTGATTATACTATGATAAATCACGTAATAATATTTAATTTTTCTAGAAAAATAATTGGTTGATTAATGCAAAAACTAAGTACAATAAAAAGATGACATATTATTGAATATCAATTATTCTGAACGCCATTTTTAAATATAAAAAAGTTGAAAATTATAAATGGAAAATATACTACTCCATAATAAAGAAGGTTTTTCAAGTTTAACTGTTCATTCGAAAAGTTCAAAATCATCCAGGAGCTGGAACTAAGGTTAAGTTGTTAAGCATGTCTACTTCATTACTGAAGGATTTTGTAAAGTAAAATATTGCTATGAAAGAGTAAAGGAGATGAAATGGCTACCGATAGCCAAGAAGCTTCACACATGTTTTGCATTAAATTTTAATTAACTATGGTTTCATTAAGCTTCACATATTTTTTTAATTATGGTGTCATTAATAGCTGAGTTAGGCTTATGTCTCAGATAGTATTTTAGGACATGTTAATCATTTTATGTATACAAAAACGACTGCTATAATTAAGAAAAGTCTGAAGGCTGATCTGGGCTTGATCTCGCTGTTACTGGCGGAGCTATGGGGCAACCTATACCTCCCATCTCAATTTTTTTGTTTTCTTTCCCTGTTTCTCCTCATACTAATATTGATGTCATTAATACATTAAAGATAGATAGAGTTATGACTGTTGAAATCAGTGGTGGTCCTCAAATGATTTTTGATCTTGGAACACGATATGCATGATGGGTTCTCATTAAATTCTACAGGATATTACGGTGTTTGTGTTGTCTAATTATATGTATGTTGGTCCATTCTTGTTCCTTGATAGTGTGAACTATTGATTGTTTTTCAAGATAAGACGACCTTTCCTCCTGAAGGCCACTTGCATGATGCTGCAAAAGGTTTGCATTTTTTTTCCATCTTTGTGCTAATTGAGCTATGAAAGTATAACTCTAGTGCCTGTGTTGCTCATTATAGGATGTGATCACTTTATGCCTGCCTTTGGACAACAAATGAGCATGAAAGATAATGACAACATTGTTGCATGTATGGAAATTAACATCAGTGTGGAGTTGCCCACAAATGTGTTGTACTCCATAGTCATTTATTGATAGGGAATGGGGACAATTGTGAGGTGGAGTATGTTCTTTCCGTTTTAATACTACATTTGATGATTTGAGTAGATTTTAGGTTCAACTTTTCTCTTTCTTAAATTATAGCGAGCTTCTTCCCGGGGGAAAGGTCTCCTCTTGTGCTTTCAAAATTCAAGTAATAAAACACCATAGCCTTTTTGGATCATCATCTCACTCCGTGAAATGTACACATTATATGATATTGGGCATTATCCTCGCTCGCGCAACACGCGTTGAAAAACTAGTTGAGCATAAAGGGGGAGATGCAACTATGCCAAATTGAGCAGGAACATCGGAAAATACCATTGTGTAATCGGAAGGATCCTGTCACTCCTTTGGGGCATATGATTTAGGGGTAAAGTAGGCACGAGTACTACATTATTATGCATTGCGTGCAATGTTTCAATGCAAAAGGAGACACTAACACTTTTTCTAAGACCGTTGTATCCCTAACATTATATAATTGTAAAGATTATGTATAGTATACCCCACCCCACGTTTCTCTCTAGCCCCCACCCTCACCGCTGCCTGCCCAAAGTGCGACTCGTTTTGAAAACAGCACATACCAGTATGCTCAGTTGTTCACCTCACTCTTCTTCTTTACGTGATAGTGTTTGGCATATTGCTTCCACCGTTTGCTTGAAAAATATACCGACTGTCGTCAAGTTCCCACGGCAGTATGGGTCAGTGCACGAGGAGATCTGATGACAGCTTAAAAAGAACTAAGCTATATGTATGAGGGTTGAAGACTAGCAGTAGCCTCTTGATTCAGGTGGATGTGTTTCACCCATTTGAGCTGAAAGGATTTCATTCAAGAAAAGCTAGCAACTTTTTTCACTCTCTCCTTGTGGTTGAAGTATTCAATGCTCTTGTGGTATTTCCTAATTGAGATATTCTCTGTGGGGGTATGTTTGTTTTCGCCTGAGCATCTGATACTTATCAATTTTGGGTTTAAAGTTGGTTGATTGGTTTTCGGCTAGTAATTAATTACCGTATATGCTAAGTGGTGCAGTTATAGCTATTTTGGCGATTTTGGGAAGGCAAATATTTGATTATTTGGGGGTTTCTCTTTATTTGGTGAAGCTGGTAGTTCATTGATTTGATATTAGAGAGGAAATCATGGAAAGTTTATCATTGGTTATCGATTGCTGATTTTCCTGGTTCCTAAGGTTGTTCAAGAGAATTACCACTTTTGGATCAATTCATGTGCTGATCATGACCAAACCTGCCCGTAACCGCATCATACTCAAAGATGTAAATGATAACATCAGTGACCATCTTCGAAATCACATGCATTTGACAAACTGCATTCATCTAAAGAACCACCACATGCGTAGTAAGCAGAGTCCCATTTTGGTTGCTGCCAATAGGTCCCTCATGAGAGACCTTGCTGTCCTTCAGAGATCAACAAGGTCCCTCAGGGATCCTTCTACAAGCCCGCTCCAAGTCCGTTTCGGAACGTCAGCGGATGAGAACAGGCTTCAAGATGAATTTAAAGATTTCATCCATGGAAATGGTTCTGGAAACTCAACACATAGGAGTATAAATGTCAAAAACAGGAGAAGACGTAGAAAATCTGATACAACATTGGATGGGAGTGAGTTGTCTGTGGCTTCAAATTCTTTTGGCCAATGTCAAAACCAGGATGTCTCCAAGAATAGATGTGGCATTCCCTGGAACTGGTCAAGAATTCACCGTAGTGGAAAATCCTTTCTTGATCTGGCAGGCAAAAACTTGTACTGTGGGTTTTCCGAGTCAACAAGGTCAAGAATCCATGACGATTTTTCTGGAGAGTTGGGTATTTTTGCAGGCAATAATCTGCTAAACAACGATACTGACTCCGTACTTGTTTCCGAAGCAAGGTTTTGCGGTAGATGCTGTTCTCTAGGTCATAATGGTAACAGTTTGAGGCACTGGAGTCTCACTAATAAATACATGCCTATGACCTTCCGGGGTTTGGTTGGACAAAATTTGGTTGTAAAAGCTCTTTCCAATGCCGTCCACAAGAGGAAGGTCGGGTCACTTTATGCGTTCTATGGGCCAAGCGGTACGGGAAAGACTTGCTGTGCACAGATATTTTCCCGGGCTTTAAATTGCAAATCTTGTGACCATCATTCCAAGCCTTGTGGAGCTTGCAGTTCTTGCATCAACAATCTAAATGTAAGAGAAATAGGGCCAGTGAGTAATGTCGACTTTGAGGATATTATGGACCTTCTTGAAATGATGAGTGTTTCTCAGTACAGAGTATTTATCTTTGATGGTTGTGATAATTTAGCCACTCGCTCATGGAATGCTATTCTGAAGTTTATAGATCGTGCACCTAGGAAAGTTGTTTTCGTTCTTATTTGTTCAAGACTCGATGCTTTGCCTCATATGATCATATCCAGGTGTCAAAAGTTCTTTTTCCCAAAGTTGAGAGATGTGGATATGATCCGTACATTGCGACGTATTGCTGCTCAAGAGGAAGTGGAGATTGACGAGGATGCGTTGAAGCTTGTTGCAACAAGAGCATATGGATCTCTCAGGGATGGGGAGATGACTCTTGAGCAGTTGAGTTTGCTTGGGCAGAGAGTTACTGTTTCTTTGGTTCAAGAACTAGTGAGTAGTTTTCTCAGTTTCTTGTTGTGTTTGGGTGTGGAATTTGGCACTTTTGTGCTTTTACATGTTATGGCTCATTGTGTCTCAAAATACTTGTTATTTAAGGAATTCACAAGAGATATTTAATCTTGCAAAAGTTTTTTTTTTGCTTGCTGAATCTGCTTGATTTTTTGAAAGGAAAAACATTTCATACAATCTAATTCAGCCAATTAACTAAATAAGTAAGTCAAGAGTTACTTAATCCGTTTGTCATTATGCTAATTCTGTGAGCTGAACTAGCCTACCAAGCAAGAGCATATATATATATGTGTGTGTGTGTATGTATATATGTGTTATATATATAGGAAAAAGATCATGTCCCCTCCGTCCAGCCACCTCCTTTTGAAGAGGTTCCCGGTGGAGTTTTTTTGATGAATTTTTTTCAGGATGTTCTTCATGAAGTGTAGATTATTATGTTCACAAAATTTGAGTTCAAAATTCAATCGGGAAATCAGTTAAATAAATTAATGAAAAACATTGCATTATGTATATATTTGGAACAGTGTTTTCAATAATTTATTTAACTGACTTCCCGATTGAATTTTAAGCTGAAACTTTGTGGACATAATCTAGACTTTATGAAAAATATGCTCACAAAGTTTCATAAAAAAAGTTCTACCCGAACCACCTCAAATGGAGGCGGCCGGACTGGGATTCCGGTCAAAAAGGCCTGACTGGATCATTACTCTGTTGGGACTGATTTTTGCAATATAAAAAGAAATCTTGGTTAAATGTTAACCTATTGGATAATTACTCTATTGGATCATTAAGTTGTGTGTAGCTTTTTAAAATGAAAACTAATTTAGGACAGATAACCTAACTGTGAACATGAAAAGAAATCTTGGTTAAATGTTAACACTAATATCATAGACTAGACATCTACCCGACCAATTTAGATCAAACCAAACCAGATTTAAATAGACGAGACCAGAAAATTGTAGTCCATTTAATAACATATATACCTTAATGCTCCTCCCAAGTTAGTTTCTTCCTGGTGATAAATATCATTTTTTATGAGCAGCTGAATCTTATGCAATTAGAATTATCAGTGAAAGATATGTTTCATTCTAATGCTAGGCAAAGTAAAACAAAATGTTATGGAAAACTATTATTTTTGTTTATGTTTTAGTGGTTTTACCGTGGAAATGCAAAGGAATGTGAAGTACTACTCTTTTTTAATTCAAAGTTGCATACATTTAGATTACCGGGTCATTATTCTCAGTCATATTTTCTCTGAGACATTCACAAGTGATGCATGTAAAACTTTTTCTTACAATTGAGTTTTCTGAATGAGAAATTTAGAAAACAGTTTTTCTCATTGCTTTCAGGTCGGGCTAATTTCTGATGAGAAATTGGTAGATCTACTTGACCTGGCATTATCAGCAGACACGGTCAACACTGTGAGAAATCTACGGGGGATAATCGAAGCCGGGGTTGAGCCCTTGGCCTTAATGTCTCAACTAGCTACTGTTATAACTGACATTCTTGCTGGTAGCTATGACTTCTCAAAAGATAGGTCACAGAGGAGGAAGTTCTTTCGCCGCCATGCATGTATGCGTGTAATAATTTATATCATCCTCATGACTCATGTATTCACATGTTTCTTATCCTTCTAGGTATATTCTTGTACGTCATAATGGTAAGATTCTAAGGGTGGAAGTGAACATTCTGTTCATAACTCGATGCTCGGGCATATTCTCTATTCTTCTCAAATTGATTCTGCTTACTATCGAGAATTGAATGCACAAACGAATTACTTATTGATGGATAATTAGTTTTGAGGGCGTTAATTATCATTTTGCAGGCGACTAGTCAACTTCGCATGCATTTGAATTGCAGTATAACCTCTTTACTATTCAAATTCAAATTCAAAAGAAAAGAAAATTACTTTTGACTTCCAGTCCAGCCCGTTTTTCCTTGATTTAATGACTCCCACTTGTTGCTATGTTTGATATTTTTTTTTAATTGAATGATCTGCTTTTTTCGTTTGAAATTCAATTTCAGTAACCAAAGACGATATGGAAAAATTACGGCAGGCTCTGAAAACATTATCAGAAGCTGAAAAGCAGCTGAGAGTATCAAATGACAGAGTCACATGGCTTACGGCAGCTTTACTTCAACTTGCGCCAGATCAGCAAGATCAACTTCTCATTTCCTCTGCAGACACAAGTTTTAATCAAAGTCCCCTTGGATTGTTCAACTATGGAGGAGAAACAGAGTTGTTGAAAACAGAAAACGTTCAAACAGGGAGTTCAATGAGCAATTACAATGACGGTACTGAGAAGAGAGGTATTATTGAACGAAAACAACATAGTATTGCAGATATTTGGATGGATGTAATAAAAAGGATTAATGTAACGAGCTTAAAGGAGTTCTTGTATCAGGAAGGAAGGCTGGTCTTGGTTAGATTTGGTGCAGGTACTTTACTTGCATTTTAACCCTTTTTAGTAAAAGCAGTACCATTACTTGTGTGAATTATATGAACTGTATTTCATTATAATGAATCTTGATGTGAAGAACTATACAAGTAGCTATATTTATAGCAAAAACTAGAACACTAGGGTTACTATACAAGATGGGCTAAGCCCAATACAACTAGGGTTTCAACACTCCCCCTCAAACTGGAGCATATAAATTATATGCACCAAGTTTGTTACAAATATATTGCATCCTAGGTCCTCTAAGAGACTTGGTTAAAATATCTGCAAGTTGATCTGTTGTTTTGACATAATGAGTAGTAATATGTCCATTTGTGATTTTTTCTCAAATAAAGTGACAATCAACTTCAATGTGTTTAGTCCTCTCATGATACACTGGATTGGAAGCAATGTGCATTGCAGCTTGATTATCACACATTAGCTTGACGGGTTTCATGCAGTGATGTCAATAGCGGCGCTATAGCGGAATAGCGGTGCGGCAGACATGGAAGCCGCTACATGGAGGGCTCTAGCGTGGCGTTTGGGTGTAGCGGCCATAGCGCCCGCTATCGTATTGGTGCGGAGAAGCCTTTTGCGGCCGCTAAAGCGGCGCGTTTTATATTAAAGAGGTTACTGCGCACTCTGGGATGGTTTTTAGCGTTTAATTTTTTAGGGCAGACATAGAAGGGGTAAATTAGACTTTTAAAACAAAATATTAACCTACTTAAAACCTTATACGTACGTTAAAGGCTTCTAAAAGCTCAAAACGAAGCCAACTTTTGAAATATTCAGAACCTCTGCAATGACTTCTTCTCCAAGAACGACGATCATCTATTTATGCTGCTCTGCGATGGCTTCTTCTCCAAGAACGACACATGCTGCCCTCCTCTGCCTTCAGTAGTACTACCTTCTGCTGCAACATCTTCTTCCCCAACCTTTGCTGCAGACCTGCGGTCTTCTTTTCTTCTTCTTCTCATATGGAGTCTAGTCAGTCTACTCTCTTTTTTGACTTTTAATTTATCAAGGCTTAAACTCTTACACTAGATACTTGCTTTTGACTCAATGTTTTGACTTAAGATGTTTTAATTTTTAATAGCATCTTGTGTTTTGCTCATGAAACTAAAGAGTATTTTTAAGTAATTTAGGATTTATGAATGTGATGTTTTCAACCTTCATTAGCATATATCATACTTTTTGAATTCAAAATGTGTATGTAATGTATTATATGGAGTATATGCTTCCCGTAGTTACTTATCTATTATGTTGAAAGTAGTCTAAATAGCGGTCATCCCGCTATCCGCTATACCGCTATAGCGTTTTTAGGGCTCGCCGCTACGCTCCGCTATCCGGGATTGACAACACTGGTTTCATGCTTCCGTATTTTAATTCTTGGAGGAGATGCTTCAACCATAATATCTCACATGAAGTAAGGGCCATTGCACGATATTCTGCTTCAGCACTAGACCTGGCAACCATGGCAACCACATCCTGTTTCTTACTTTTCCATGAAATTAAATTCCCACCAATCAAAATGCATTATCCAGAAGTATAACGTCTATCCATTGGACATCCAGCCCAATCTGCATCACAATATCCAACAATGTCACGGTGCCCTCGATCTTCAAAGAGTAATCATTGTCCTGGAGTTTTCTTGATGCATCTCAAGACTCGGATAGCTGCGTCCCAATGTCCATCACATGGCTTATCAAGAAATTGACTAAGCACATTGACATCAAATGAAATATCTGGTCTTGTGATGGTAAGATAGTTCAACTTCCCAATAAGCCTTCTATATCTCTCTTTATTGGGCAGGAGGTCACCTTGTTCTGACACGAGTTTGACGTTTGGATCCATTGGTGTATCCACTGGCCTACAATCCAACATACCTGCTTCCTCAAGAATATCCAATGCATATTTCCTCTGTGAGAGCACAATTCCATTTCTTGATTGGGCAACCTCAATACCAAGAAAGTACTTTAGTTTTCCCAAGTCTTTTGTTTGAAATTTGCTAAAAAGATATTCCTGGAGTTGGGCAATTCCTTGGTCATCATTACCTGTAATGACAATGTCATCAACATATATAACAAGAAAGATACATTTATTGCCGGCAGAATGTCTATAGAATATGGAATGATCTACATCACTCCGAGTCATGCCAAAACCACGAACAACAACACTAAATCTCCCAAACCATGCACGCGGGGATTGTTTCAGGCCATATAAAGAACGACGCAATCTGTAAACCAAACCAGACTTCCCCTGAGCAACAAAACCAGCTGGTTGCTCCATATAAACCTCCTCATGTAAATCACCATGGAGAAATGCATTCTTAATATCCAATTGAAACAATGGCCAGTGGCTCATTGCTGCCATGGATAAAATTAGACGAACGGATGCAATTTTTGCAACAGGAGAAAAAGTGTCAGTGTAGTCTAATCCATAGATTTGTGTATACCCCTTTGCAACCAGACGTGCTTTAAGACGATCAATGTTGCCATCTGGTCCTACTTTGACTGTGTAGATCCAGCGGCACCCAACAACTGATTTCCCAATAGGAAGGGGAACCAAGTCCCATGTCCCACTAGAATGTAAAGCCTCCATTTCAGCTAACATAGCTCGACGCCACTCTGCGTGTGATAATGCCTCATGTGTGGTTTTAGGAATACAGACACCAGATAAATGTGAAGTGAAGGCAAAGTAAGGGGTGGAGAGGTGATGATAACTTAAAAAAGTTATAAATGGGATGAGGATTCAAAGTTGAGCGTGTACCTTTGCAGAGGGCTATGGGCAAATCATCATGATTGTTCTCTGGCACTTGGGTAGCTGACTGTGCTGGTGTGGGATCCAAAGTAGGGGAATCAACTGGTGTGACCTCAGAGGACTCATTGGGTGGAGGGCGAGGGCGTCGTTGATACACTTGTAAAGGACGGATTGTTGGTGGAGATGGGTCGATAGGAGCATCGGTAAGGGGGGTGGAGATGGGTCTGAGATATGGAAGAAAGTCAACACATGAGGGGGTATCATGGAGGGGAGATGGGTAATAAAATGAGGACTCAAGGAAAGTGACATCAGCGGACACAAAATGTTTTCTAAGTACCGGGGAATAACAACGATACCCCATTTGAAGACGGGAATATCCAAGAAAGATACATTTGATTGACCTAGCAGACATTTTGGGTATTCCTGGTGTGGTATCATGGACAAAGCAAACACAACCAAACACATGAGGTGGTAATGGAAACAGTGCCTGAGTAGGAAACAAAACAGAATGGGGAATGACATTACCAATAACCGATGAAGGCATTCTGTTAATGAGTTGGCATGCAGTGAGAACGGCATCTGCCCAATACTGTGGTGGTGAATGTGAATGTAACAACATAGTATAGGCAGTTTCAATTAAATGTCTATTCTTGCGTTCAGCAACCCCATTTTGTTGAGGTGTATAAACTATAAACACAAGAAGACTGATGAAACATACCTCGTGATGTCATGAATTGATTAAAGGGACTGGTAAAAAATTCCTTAGCATTATCACTACGTACAATCTTGATAGAACGCCCAAATTGGGTGTGAATTTCAGCCCAAAACTTTTGAAAGATATGAAACAATTCAAGATGTTCTTTCATTAAAAACAACCACGTGTGACGGGAGAAGTCATCCAAAAAAACGACAAAATAACGAAACCCTAGGCTAGAATTGACTCGATACGGACCCCATACATCTGTATGAACTAAATCAAAAGGGGACGCAGCCCTGTTATTGACGTCTTGGAAAGGACTGACGAGGTTGCTTTCCAAGATGACACGACTCACAATCTAAAGAGGAAATACTGGAGAAACTTGGGACCATATGTCGAAATTTGGAAAGACTGGGATGACCCAAACGATTATGTAAGGAAAGTGCTGGTTCAGTAGACACACAAACAACTGGATCAAGAGGTTGGAGGTGATACAAGCCCTGAGATTCACGCCCGACCCCAATCATCTTCCCCGTACAACGGTCCTGCACAGTCACAGAGTCAGCATAAAAGGTTATAGAACAATTAAGAGAGCGTGTAATTTTGCTAACAGAGACAAGGTTAAAAGGGCTATGAGGAACATATAGAACTGAATCTAATGGTAAGGATGAAAGTCGGAGTGCTTGCCCAATACCCGTAACCGAAGTGTGAAGACCGTGAAGACCATTGGCTAGGGTGATTAATGGAAGGTTTTGGTATTTTGTAATATGGGATAAAAGATGGGGATTACCAGAAATATGGTCGGAAGCACCTGAGTCAATGATCCATGAGCTAGTTGTGTTTGACACACATGCTGTAGAAGTACCTGATGTTGACGAAGTCAAAGTGGACTGCTTAAATTTCTGATAAGCATCATATTCGTCAGGAGGCAGCACAACTGGAACTTGCGGGATTTGGGCAACATTGGCAGAGCTGGGAGGTTTACCATGTAACTTCCAACACCTATCTTTAGTATGACCCATCCTATGACAAAAATCACACTTGGGACGATTACGGCGTGGATATCCTTTTTGATTTCCCCCATCATGCCCGGAACCTTGAGATGCAAGAATGATAGAATCACTTGAAGATGCGTCAACAGATATTGGGGCGGCTCGAAGAATTCTGGAAAAGGCTTCAGACATTGTAGGAACAGAAGAACTGGAGAGAATTTGCTCATGGATTCATAACAACTTTGGGCGAAGACCTGCTAAGGTTAAAACCATAACAAGTTGTTGTCTTTGCTCAAGTTGTTTCTCCTTATCCTCAGTGATAGGTTGGATATTATTATATTCAAACAGTAATGCCTCAGCCCGTCCTAGAAACTCTTGAATGTCCAAATCCTGTTGTTTGAGCGTAGCAATTTTGGAACCAAAGGAAAACAGATTTTGGATGTCATTTGTGTAGTTGGCCTTCGCTTTTTCCCAAATCTGTTTGCATGTGCGGTATGATTGATAAGTAGGATGAAGTTTTGGATCCATAGATTGCCATAACACGTTACACAA